TCTTCCTCTCAAAACTGTTTCGTAGTGAATATCCTATTGTTTTTCTTCCCTATGCAAGCGTTTTCACGAATGATTTCAGGATACTAGTTAAGTAAATTGGCGTTTTTATCCTTTCAGACGCAGTTTGCAGTTTATTGGTCGGTTCGAAAGCATTGACGCTCTTGTTTAGTGGCTGTCGAACTCTCTGAGACAGTCAACTGATGGTGGAACGTTCTATCACCACACAGAGTTTCTTCTAATCCATAAAATTTTTCTGGTCATACTATTTTTTGGCAAAAATTTATTCCTTAAATGCTAATATAAAATCAGAAAATAGAGGAAAGGGTAGTTATGAGACATAAAATAATCAATAAGAGCGTCATAGTTCTTGACGCACGTGTTCTTTTTTTCGGTCAATCGTTTTTGCTCGTTCAATCACAGAACTAGTGCATAATACCATTAAGCCCTAACCATATGAAAGATATACGACGTGACGTACTAACAATCAACGGAGAACCGGTTATGTCAAGCAATCAATATCTATGAAAATTATAGAGCTGAAGGGCCAAATGCTAGTCTGTTGGATTTAGGGTTAACATGGGTTTCTTGAATCAACATATCAGGAAGGAAAGAAGAAAGCAGATCGTGGAGCCACATCCCCGAACCCACTCACAAATCTGAACACCTAGCAGTCCCAAAACAGCATAAGGAAACGAACGAAGGAGAGGGTGAGTCATCAACGTTATGTAAGGTTGTACGTTATCTAACTATCGATAGAATAGGTAAACATGCAGTTGCCTAGGGATAGGCAACCCTTCGCTCTACGGCTATTCTTGCAAGACACTAGAATGCAGTGTCGGCATTATAGCTGCTGTCGGGTCTATCCGAAATCCAGATTTTATGATGGAAAACACGTTTCCAGTCTGGAGTCAGATTAAAAATGCATGACTACCACTATAGTTTACGTTCGAGAAAAGTTCACAATAAACTTCTCAGTAATTGAAAGCGTCAGCATAAATCCTGTTTCTTGCATGGATATTCCCTTCATTCAGCGGCAACAACAATGGCCAACATTATCGACACAATTATAGTTGCTCGAATAAAGCTCGTGGAAAGCGATAAAACGATTACAGTAAATCTGTTGCTTGATACTTACTTGATACTTGAACGGCCCGTCATCATAAGTTGTGCGGGCCGCAGCATAATCAGCATAATCACCATTTTACGGCGATTTGCTGGTTAAGCCATTGTAGACCCCTAGAATCCCGAGAACAGCCTGGCCATGGTCTGCTCCAGGTCGTCACCACGACAAGTAGCCGCAGCCCTTGTGGATCAGAGGGAGATTTACCACTACTACCGTGCGACTTTGATACCAAGACTGTGGTGCATCTTGGTATTGGTTTACTCTTAACTAGGTTTCCTGATGGAAACGCCGGACTCCTTCTCAGCTTGGGAGACCCTGCCGAGAGACAATTCCCCTCGCTGTACATCGCAGTCTGCACCCATGAACACCTCCTAGCCACGATGAGGCGGTGAACCGTTGGGAACAGTAAATCTGTTAGAGAATACAACGGTCAAACAGAGCACTTTCCCATGTGAACCGTTTGTAAGTGTGATTTTTGGAGAAGAAAGAAGTAAATGTACTCGAGTAATGTTTGTCTAGACTTTATCAAAGAAAAGACATTATTGCGTTTTTGGCTCAAAGGAAGTATTTCCGCACTAAATCTGTTTTTTTAAATCTGTTTACTCTACTATAATAAGACCACTAACGGAATTCTAATTCTATAGTGAGAGATCAGCTGTTGATCTCGGTCTTCACTTTTAGACTACTCAGAGTGAGAACTGAACCAAGAAGAGAAAATTATTTGCTCACACCCATATTTTCAACTAAATTCAGAAGTGTTTTACGAAATTCGTTCGTGATGAAGATAAAGCTGTTTACGACAAATCCTTCAAAAGCAGAAAAATCTCCAATCATCAATGCCGTGCTCCAACGCTAATTGGAGCTAATTCGGCTGCATCTTTACTTTTATTCTCCCTAACGGGAACGTAGTCACGGGAGTTCGCAATCTATCCAATGGCATATATATATGTATATATATATACATATATATATATATCCAATTGGTGAAGTCTCCTGCGAGTAATGATCTTTAACACGAATACTTGGATACTTGGATGGCCCGTCCTCACTGGTTGTCCGGGTCCCGGGATAATCTTCATTTTTTCGGAGCTTTGCTCGTTTAGCCGCTGTGATTCCCTGGATTCTCGAGATCGGCCAGGCCAAAGTCTGCCCCAGGTCTTCACCACCACAGGCAGTCGCCGCGCTTGTGGAACACAGGGAGATCTGCCATGCGACTAGCTTGGTACCAGGATGGTGACGGATCCTGGTATTGGTTTACTCTTAGCTGGGCATCCCGATGGAAACGCCGGGGTCTTTCTCAGCTTGGGAGACCCTGCCAGTGAGATGAATTCTACCGCTGTACATCGCAGCCAGACACCCAGGAAAACCTCCCAGCCACTTTGAGGCGGTAAACCTTTGAGAGACTTTCACACGAAATCGTTATTTTGTATCACATAATTGCCGTGAAACAGCAACTTTTTTCTTAAGCTTTTGCATTATTCTTTGAGTATACAATTTCCATAACTATTAACACTACGTAGCATACAGCGAACAATGTTTAGAGGCGGCGCTTCTAATTATAATTGGATTGTTAACTCTTCATCCTTAGCTTCTCTGTTTTTTCCTGTCATGCCCACTTTCATTCTCACCTTCATTTCCAATCTCAATCATTATTTGAATCTCGCTCTTTCTCTCTCGCCCCCTCTCTCTCTTACAGACCTTCGATTTGCCATACATTCTTGAGAATCTAGAAGAAACATTGCAGATATGAGAACACAGAGGAATTGTTATTGTTACGTCTGGTTCTCCTAACTGAGGTATGTTGCCTTCTGTTTCCGACAGTTCATGTTCTTCTTTGAATTGTATAAAAGTGGATAACACACTGACGGCAATGGAGAAGATTGAAGCATAAATAATAAAATGGTTGAGGACATTACTAAACTAGCCGAGAAAAACGCAAGGCAAGGGCCTCAGTGGTTCAGCGTGCAATGAACGAGCCTCCGGAAAGGGTTATTGTGGTTCGATGTGGCCTGGGGTCTAAGTTTTCACGAATATCTCAGAATCACTGTGGTTGAAGACATTATTTGCTCCTCGTCTATTTGTGCTTAAGAAACCACATGATAAAATTTTTCAGGATAAATACTGTTATATTCTTCAGGTAAACATTACCTCCCGACGGTTTACCGCCTGATCGTGGCTGGAAGGTGTTCCTGGGTGTCGGACTGCTCGGACTACAATGTACGGCAGGAGGAATCGTTGCCCCGCAGAGTCTTCGAAGCTGAGAAGGAGTCCGGCGTTTCCATTAGCAAGCCTGGCAGAGAACTAATACCGAGATCCGCCGCCGTACTGGTATCAAAGTCGCATGGTGGCAAGTCTCTCTGGTCCACAAGGGCAGCGACTGTTTGTGGTGGTGAAGACCTAGAACAGACTTTGGCCAGGCTGACCTCTTTTTCGTTTTTCCTTTCTTCCTGGAGTCCAGGGTACCACAATCGTTTAACCAGCAAATCTCCGAAAAAGTGGAGTTTATGCTGGGACCCGCACAACCGGTGAGGACAGGCCATTCGAATATCAAGTGCCAAGCAGTTTATAGACCTTATCATATAATTTAGTCTTCAAAACGAAAAGACCCTTACAAAACAGTTTTTCCTGAATTCCACAAGAGAAAGAAGATTCTTCTCAGTGTTGATGAAATAGAAATTGCGTTTTCGATCCTTGGTTGGTAAAAGACAAATCATGTAAGTGTGCAACTATTAAGCTCTCCTTAAGTGTTCTAGATATAACAGCCAAAAAATTTTGGGAAACTGGCAGGTTCTTTGCAGCGAATCGTGGCTAGTGATTCTGTGCGCTCTTTCTTCTATTGCTTCAAATAAATCTTCGAATGCTGTCATCTCGATGATTTTCGTCTACGGACAGCACTTCCTCGTCCTTGTCATCCTATCGTCGTCGGTAGTATGTGGAATTACGCAGCTGATAAGCCAGAATTTCATTGCTAGTTTTTTTGCTTAATTTTGACAATGTTAATTTGTTATAAACGATTGAATTTTTTACACAACCCGTCTTCACATTTGCTGTGCGGATCTCAACACTTCTTGCACTGCACTCATCTACTCGAATCCATCATCCACGAAGTTCCTCAAATTTCTGCGTCTTGGCTTCGCCGTCCGCATGAGCAGTTTAAGTCTTCTTTGTGAATGCTGTCGTTTGTTGGCTGAGTCGATTCTCTCTCAATTCTTCTTCAAAAGTTCCACTACAACGTTCTTAGGTCTTCACCGTAGTATGCGATTGGTTCCGCTGTTCAAAGGGAATTTACCAGACGAGTCTGGTATCAATTCGTCAAATAAAGAGGAATGAGGAGGACTTAGTTGACCCTAGGCAGAGTTGAATCAGAACTTTGGTTCCGTTAAACAAAGTTCTATTGACGATCAGAAACACTGCAATAGTTTTCGTGTCTATTACTAAGCACAGAGTAAACAGTTTTTCAGCCTGACATGTTAAAATAGAGGAAATCACATGTCTTTTAGATCACCTCTCTACTTTTTTGTGATAGCAAATATACTTCATTAATTTGTAAACTTTATTTGGATAATCAAGTGTATACACGCAAGGCACTTTCGGTGAGGCGCTCAAAAGGCGTTATTTAATCAATAAATCGATAAATCGACACTTAAAACACATAGTTTGCTTAATAACATTATACAGCGTTCGAATCGATTACAATATACAGTTTGATCAGTGTGTGTGTCCGCTTTCTCTGAGGAGATTTCGAATCGATTCGAACGTATCGACAAGTCTAATCGATCGATTAACAATAATTTTCTCCTAACGTGGAACTGTACACCTATCACAGCGTTGCTGACGCAGCAAATGTGGGGACATAGGTCCGGTCGTTCCGACTACGTCAGCAACGTCGACGACAATAACGGCGACGACGACGACGACGACAATCGGAACGTTGTTCCCCACGAGCGAAGAGGGAAAGAAAAAGAACAGAGGAACGACTTCTTACAATGACACAATTTTACAATATTAATATTAAACAATTATTGATTTTTCAGATTCAATTTACACATTTGGCAAAGATGAGTGACGTAGGAGGCCGACATAGAATACAATTTTTTCTTTAACAACAAAAAAAAGCTGTACTCTATGATAATATTTGGCACGGACCCATTTGGTACGGAAAATAAAATGTGTGCTTTTGTGTTGTTTTAGACGTAGTTGATTTTGTACACCTCAAATTTAAGCCGAATGTCCACATGTAGCTGGGAGATCAGTCAACGTAGGTCCTGAAACGAAAATGTCTCCCGAAGGATAACTGTGGAAAATCTTTGATGGAAAACATAGATAAAATACGCCTTCATAGTTGTGTACATAAAGTAAAAATTCAAAGCGTCTTGGTTTCTCAACTCATACTGAGTTTTTGAATTTTAAGTCAGAGATTACATGCTCTTCCCTCCAAATTGCTGCGATCACCATTAAAAGAACGATTGAGCACCAAACTTAAGACAACCGAAGTTCAGAACTCATCAGAGCTTAGCGAAGGTAAAAAATAGACTTGAGTCCGAACAACACGTCGAATCTGGAATGGTTTTCCAGAAAAGGTTCTCCAATCGCCGAAGTAATGTTGAGGCTATGTTTGATTGAGAGTTGTCATTGTCGATACAAATTCGAACTTGTGTCAGACGTTTCCTTCTCACGTCATCAAATATGCCAACTGGCGAAGCCGATTTGCATAAACGTTTGCATCGATCTCTTTGACACTCAGCTATCGCTCACTATACATGATACCAGTGTCATTAACAGAACAGGTGAAGCTGAAACGAGTGTAAATGTGGCCTCAACATAGCAGTTACCCCTCCTGAGGTAGCTAAAAGGTTCGCCATTACATTGGAGTGCACCAAAATCTCATTTATGAAATGCAGCATCTGGATTGTCTTGTAGCGTGACGGTGCAACTCATTGTCCACAGAGGTTACTGAACATAGTTTTCCAGGTTCGTATACTCGATGGTGAAGTACAAGAATTGGCGACACGTTTTGGCGGTGGGTTTCCTACTCTTAATACGGAGTTAATCTTGTTGAAATGGATGTGCATTTCGTTACCGAGAAGAAGCTTGCAGCAGAAAATCACTCGAATTTGGTGTGTTCATATTTTGTTCTTATTGCTTTCTTATGAAGGATGATTACTTTTAATGGCACTGGTGGAATGCGTCTGGAACGTTTTGCCAAGCTTCTAAGTATATCGAAGGTTAGAGGTGTTTGAAATCGGGAAAGAGGAATTATTTCAATGTGAAGCAACAAGTTCCCGTTAGCCCAATAAACTATTTTCTAAGATAGAACTATTTCTACAACTGAAAACGTACCGAATCGTGCCGGTCCAGTGATTTAGTTGCGGATCCTTGTTTTCTTCAGTACAATCGCATTCATTTTCACTACAAAACGGATGCGCATAACCACAGTCGAGAGCGGTCGAACGACAGTTGGGATAAAATCTAAATAACATTCTGTTATATGTATGATCAAAAAACAGCAGCAGAATGTTTTGACGATAGAGACATCTATAGCATATTTTAGTGAGTATTTTATTAATTCTGTCGATCGCAGGTTTGACCCCGTTGCTAACCCCAGATGAACGAAAGAGTTCTTGAGCACGAGGGCGCAGCCGAACAAGCGATCGAGCCGCTCCCTTATACTCTAGTTTTTTACAGCCGCTGACTCTATAACCCTTTCAAGAAAGAAGATGGCAGCAAAATATTTCTTTCATTCGCTACTATGGCGACTCATCTAAAGTGTTCCACAGCTCTTAGCTGCAGCCAAGAAAGCATAAGGTTCGGTTATCGAATAAAAAATTCTACGAAACTGGATTGGTGGAACATCTATGTGAAAACAATAAGAAATGTCAGTATGCATTGTGAATATCAATGCATATGCAGTACACGTGTTAATAATTATGTTTGAACGGAAAGCGGTATTTTAGACGACAGTGTATCGTGGTGAGTCCTGTATGCAAACACCACACAGACATAAACCTAAAAGCTAGTGTTTACCTCCTAAAGAACGGCTTGAGCTGACGCCAAGTGGAAAATTATATGATAGGAGGCACTGCTGCGCTGGTAGTGTTACTCTAAAGAGAAGTTTTTTGTCAGTACTTGCAACCGTCATCGTTATTCAGCTTAACATCGGAACCTGATCGACGCCATAGAACGAGAACATCAAGAAATCAGAATGTACCAGACACTTTTAGATGAGTAGTAAACCATTCTGCATCTCCACGTAAACGTCACACCTTCCGACTACTACCTCTCCTCAGGTGTGAACAATTAAACACGAAATGGAAGCATCGACGACTACGCATCAGGTTGAAAACGACGATGACGACAGGTGTCAGGTCCAAAACGGCGACGAGAATTTCTTCAGATTCTATCCATGCGTTTTCTGACCGACTGTCTTCTATAAGCTTCAACGTGTTTGGGATTTAGAATTGATAATGATGACAGCTATTTTGTAGATCGACTTCTTAAATCGCTGGATATATTAGATTCAGAAAACTGTGTTCGCTGTGCATAGAATTTCCAGATCGTGATAATCTTTACTGGACATCTTGTTATACGCTAGGATTTTCGAAGTTTTGAAAAAACTCCTTCTGCATCCTTATAGAGGAATTCGCGGTTTCAGAATTGCTCATTGTTTCTCTGGTGGTGGTTTCTTGTTCAACTTCAAGAAGCCATATCAAGCACTAGTGTATAGGAAGAGAAGCTATTCTTTATTTAAAAAACATCCACTTGCAGAAGCTTTTCCAGTGACGAGAACGTTGTAATCACTACATTGCTTGTGAAAGAGTACCACAATCTCTAACGAGTTCCGTAGTTGCTCAAATATGTAGCAGTTTGGCGAAGTCATTAAGGAATAATTCGAGCAAAGATAGTAAAAAAAAAGGGAATACAGTACTTTATAAGGTTGTCATAAACGTCCGGCACATTTTATTCTTTTTATTTTTACATAACCCATCATCAGATCTACTGCGCAGATCCCTGCACTTCTAGCACTCAATTCGTTTTCCTCGTACTGATTGTCCACAAACGTCTTCGAACCCCTCGTGTGTTGCTTCGGCTGCATCTTCAAGAATTCATCTTTTTACGAATTTTGTACAGTGTTGGTCTATTTCATTTTCCTTGAAATCTTAGACATAATTGAGCTAAGGGGTTCCCACATGGATTTAAGGGAAGTGATGAGAACAGGGTTCGAACCAGCACTTTGTTTCCTGAACGACTCTGTCGCTAACCACTATGCTACCTCATCCCACTTATGGCACTACCTTAATTAAATAGAAAGGTTCATTGAAACAGAAAAATGGACTAAACTAGAAATCGTGTGGGAAAGACTAGAATGTTTCATATTTTGCTAATAATATGAATGAAAGAAGTATATAATACCCCGAGTATGGTATCAAGGGGAATACGACGCCGTACCGCAGAGTTGTTAATTATTCGAGTCCATCTGTGGCTAACCACCACAAGGATGAGTGAAGCGGAATCTCAGTGTCGAAATTCGACATACAGAAAGAAGTTCATCTCTTAGCAGGTTGGCAAAAGTCACGAACAACCACATCGAAATACTGTTCAATTTTTCATTTATGAGACTTTACACCTCATATTCACCGATGTTACGCAGCTCATAGAAAGAAGAAATCTTGAATAAGAGCACACGGCTGGTTGGAAAAAATCCTTCCTGAAGGAGTCCGTTGTCTAAGAGGAAATGTAGCCATAAAAGAAGAAGCAGTTAGAAGAAGTATTAGGTTCTAAATGAACGGGTCTGAAAAATTGCCGTCAAAGCTTTCGGCAATATAATAGTTGGCGACAACCTTTTTGAAAGGAAACGAAATTCCTCAAGATATAATATGGAAGAACTGACAGAATAGTTCCACTCTAACCTTTCTGTTCCACAATGTCAGCATTAAAGCCCTACTTGTTATTTTAGAGCTGAAAAAAAACAATTTGGGATTTTTCCTCGTATCACCTAATAGAAATCTAAAGTGAAACATACATTTGCACTGATTACGATAAGAGGAAGATAGATAAACGAAATAATAGTGAAGTTCATTTCGGCAGGATTCTTAAGGATATCAACCTTTCTCTGGTACGACCAACTAGCACATGAACGATCGTGTTTGTAGCTAACGCCAACCAGTTGTTTTCACAGCCGGACACAATCTAGTAGTCAAAGGGTTATACACTAGAAGCCATAGAGTACGCAGCAGACCACATTCACGAACAGCATTCGTAGAAGAATAAAAAAAACAGAAACGTATTGGAAAACAAATTATTTGCGAATACTAGGCTGGTAAGCCAGTAAAGAAGTGGAATTGGTGGTAGTCCACGACACAAACCATGCATGCGCTAACGAAACAAAACTCACAGACACATTTTATATGGATGCCAGAGCGGACAGTTGTTATTCACACGATGATGACGATCTTCCCATTGCGGACATTGTGGCGCTGGTTTACGGAATTTCTCACGCTGTTCTAAAAAATATTCAACATGTTGACGAGGCTCCAACATAAAGGAGCTCGTTGGAAAACTAGTGCGGTTTCATGCAAAATTTTTATTTCTTTTCCTTCCCATTTTCACTAAAACGACAACTTAGTTTTTGTAAACAAGAAAAAATTTTTTGTGATTTTTACCAGTGCTGTTGTCTTAGATTCTAGCGAACTATATTCTAACGATTTAGGGATATTCGGAAAATCGAAGATCACCGCTATGTGGAAAACTAAGCAATTTCAGAATTAAAAAGAAAGAAGAAAGAGATTCGTCACTCGATCTCAATCTCTTAAACTCACCAGAGTCTCTGGGTTCGCGTCCTTTAAACTGATATGTGCTATGATTTGCTGCTGACATGAATGGATTTCGACCACATCCTCGTGCAGGTTTCCAAGCACCCTAAAAATACACCATAAAAATAATTGTTTTGTAAACGATTTTCAACTCATATTATAGCTTTCCTTGGCATAACTCTTTTGTCTCTTTTGCTTTTTTTTCATCACTTGAACTGACGTCTCAAATTCTACTATATGATCCGACATCACACTTGTCGGATTTCAGCAGTTCCTTCATTCAATTCGTTCAATGTCAAACATCATCCGTGAAGGTCTTCAAAATTTGAGTGTGGGTCAGTTTCAACCTAATGGTTTGGTCATCTTCATAAATTTCGTTGATTGAGAAAGGATTCTCTGTGCAACCTTAGAGCTGCTGAGCTAGAACTTTTCACCTCTTCACCACGGCAGTCGCCAGAGTTCGTGGATCAAAAAGAATTTTTCCCAGAGAAGAGCGTTATCAGGTATGCGGCTGTGGAAGGATCTTTCAATGCGTTACTCGCCCCTTCGTTCCTTGCTTGCAAGTTTGGGTTAAAAAGTTAACAAAATCAGTAGTAAATGAAGAGGATAAGCGATTTAAATCAGCCCTTTGTAGACAACGTTTGTCTAGCATATGGCGATAGAAAATATTAGCATTCTAGAAGAACAACGGACAATTAACCAATAAAAATCGTCCATAGAAAATAATGAAAAACTCCTGATGTCAAAAAATGTTGGAGTTCTAAGTTTTTTCCTTTATGCTACAGTTACACTCCTAGAAAAAACGTATATCCGCAATTAAAAAATTGAGAATAGAACCATCGTCGATGAACTACCGTTACTCACGGACCTCTTGTGTGTCAGGCTGATCATCTTGTTTTCGAATCTTTACGCCACAGCCCTCATCGCCTTCCTTCCACACATCGCCTCGAGCTGGTGTGTTCGGTGGCGCACGCCGTTTTTCTTCGTGACCTTTCTGGAACGGATTGTGCTGGAATGGATTGCGTCGTTCCGCTTGACTAAATGGATTCTTCTGCTGCCGTGGCTGATGTTCGCCTGCACCAATGACATCCTGAACGGCGTCCCGACCGCATTTGGCACAAAAACGCGGTGGTTCAATCAGTTGCGCGTACGGTGACGGTACATACGGAACTGGTACGAATTGATTTTGTGGAAGAAAACCGGGCAAAACCTAAAACGTGAGAAACCTCTCTATCGTATTGTTATTTGTCTTGCTTTTTTTATCTACCACCTTACACTGCAGGATAAAAACCCTTTTTATGATAGAGTTGATTGGAAGATTGTTTGCAGGTTTTTTTTCCTGCAGGAACAATAGTTAGCTTGTGAAGAAGTTTAGGTGTGCTACGTATGTTCTAAGAGAATCGCTATATGGAGCACTTTTCAGGACAAAAGAAAACGCTCCAACTTTCTTTGATCACCTTTTCAACAGACGAATTTTCACCTTTTATTGTCATTAACTTTCAATATTGAATGTACCAATACCTGTGAATTAATAACCTGAGCAGCGTAGATATTTTGTTGTCCGCTGTCATCAAGTCCATCCACAGAAGCGAACAAATTCGGATTCGAGTCACTGAAATAAAAGAACTCTACCGCAAAAAATAATACACTTGTAATGTATTTTTAAACTGATAGTTTTGGTTGATTTTCTCATTAGTGCTTTGCATCGTCCATATAGTCTGCATTTCCCACAAATAGTTAGCTAACCCAACTAAAAAAATAATGAGTTCTATCATCCCCTTATATGATACGGTATTAAAACCTGTTCCATATTTTCTATGACATATTCAGTACTTGAATCAAAGGCATTTTTTCAGCAGTTGGCAAGCCACGCATTGCACAGTCGCCTGTGTTAGACGAGAGGCCGAGTATCACACGAATAGGAATTTAGCAAGAGGACTACCAGAGAGCACAATCAATTTGTAGCTTCAGCATTGTTCTCTCCAGTGTTTCTCTACAACTTAACTAGCTAACCATAATTTTGCGTTCTATAGGTAAAGTTGTTGTATGAGTCAAAGATCGGACTATCGGTGAAGACCTTGTTCATTGCGACGTATCGGTGCGACCATCATTCGGCGATGTACAGATAGTCGACGTTGCGTCGTTGGTCTCTAGGTCTAGACGACCGTCATAAATCGTTGGCAACTATATGAATGCCATTTTATCCAAATTACGGTTCTGAGGAGAGAACAGACTTCGTTATGTTGGGATTTCCTGGCAGGAATGAAGACATACGCCAAACTGGACAAATTAAGCGCATATAACATTCAACAGCCAGCTGTTTCAGTTGTATTGAGCTTGTGAGACTGTATACATTTTAGAAGTGGGTAGCGCAGTAGTTAGTGATGCCATCAATCAGGAAGTAAAGACACTATTTCGACCCCACCCCATTCTCCAACACTCTCATCTAATCCACGTGGGAATTCGCCTTAGCCTGGCTATCTCCAAGTCTACAAAAAAAGAATCTACTTGACTAGCATTTTACGACTATTATAAGAAAGACGACATCCTCGAGCAGCAACTGAAACAACAGGCTAAGTATTCGAAGACCACTGCGGACAATGAATGCGAGGAAAACGCATGGAATAGAAGTGCTGGGATCCCCATAGTAGATTTGATGAAGGGTCACGTGAAATGCAATAAAAGTGCATCCAGTTTTTGGCGTAAAACAACCATTTCTACCGTTATCTCAAAATTCTTGTAAGTTCATTTTCATCTTTGAAGTATTTCCTTTTCGTTCAAATCACTCAAATTAGTACCTGTTTCTAAGCGATTCTGTAGTGCCAGTCATATTTGTGGAGTTCACAAACTTCTCAGGTGGACCCGAACCGTTGATTTGGGATGCTGCTGTCGATGTGGCTACGTCGCCAACATGAGGTGACGGCGCTGCTGGCGCCATAGCGCCGGAAAGACGCGAGAGCAACTGCGTCAAGCTAAAACCGCCTGCTATTGAATATCACACAACAGAAATATAGATAGAATTGTTATGAATTCGTATGTATCGAAAAATCGGCTATTGATAAAGCAATCTGCATGTTCGTTATCGATTTTTCTCACCTAATAATGAAATAAGTTCATAAGTAACCGTATTTTCAATAAAGACCGTATGAAAAGAGCGGCGATAATAATAGAACCTGTCGAGTTTGATGACTGAAAGGTGAAATGGGATCAACAAAGAAGATTTTGAGAAAAGGAGCGTTACTCTTCCGTAAATTGATCGATTTTCTTGACCGTCTACTGTGACCATTGTTAAGAAAATTACTGGGACTTCACTACACGAATCCATTCGGGCGTCAAAAGTTGGGCATATTTAAATCTGATCAGTTCATTCAAATCGAAATTAAAAGAATTGTAGGCCAACTTAATCGCTTTAGAGCTTAGGATAGCCTTAATACCGAAACGATTTTTATTCACTATGCTAGCGTAGTCTCAGCGCGATAGACGTGCTGCACCAAAGGGAATTGCTCCGCCCACACATCCACCACACATTTATTACCAAACTGCAAAATTCACCATACAACTGTACAGGTACCCTTCTTTCGAATTTCATATAGCAATTTAATTTTTAGGTTAGAAGTCTTGGTTATGGACCTCAGGAACTCAAGCGATCGATGGTAATTCTGGAAAAAAGTGCGATCTTACTCACAGAAATCGTTTAGTGCTAAATCAACTTACAAGAATATGCCTATTTTTGGCATGAGTTTAGCAGAAAGCGATAATTTTTCGGGAACTATGTGACGGTAGCAAAAAATTGGACGGCAGGAGAACCCATTGCTCGGCAGTTTTCCCTCTCGTCATCGAACACACAACGAGGAGTGACTCATCGAAAAACAATGTCACCAATTGAACACGGAAAAATTCGAGAAAGACCTGCTTTATTCAGGTATTTCGCGGTGAAGTACCAATGGAAGAGAAGAGGAAAAAAGAAAGGGAAGACAGAATCTAAAAGAAATGAGAAAACGACGGAGACCGCATAAGTCGGTGTTAGCGAGGACGTTGTTGTTCAATTTCCTTTCAGAAATACACCATTAGTTCTCAAAGTATGCAGTTGTGTGAAAAAATATCTACGTAAAATATATAACGATTTACAATGTCATAAGATGAGATGATAAGCTGAGAGATGATTCAAGTAAAATACACATGAAACACGAGGATGATGAAAGGCCACTGAACAGAACCATCCTGAAAATGTTCGCGGAGGCTCTAAAAATTGAAAACTTAGCTTCGAAGGTTTTGAAAAAACGAATTTCAGTCCAATAACCGGTCCACATTAAAGAAAGTGATCCACTGTTTCCCTTCAAACAGCGATTTGTTCGCATTCAAAATCTCACTAATCAATATCTCACTGTGATTTAAAAAAGAAAAAGAAGAGAAAATTCATTGAAGGCACCGTAGTGGATGGTACCACGTGAATACTTACTCAAATAAGCGACCATTGCATGTGCTACTAAACCACAGTAATTCCTCCAATAGATTCGTTATCTTGTAACAGCCATCCATCCGAGATGGTCAGCTTCGTGTGCGAGTTCGACAACGGTTTGACGACGTGCTATCTTCTCTCCTCATCGATATATTGAATCCTACTCGAACGTCATTTCCTCTGGAATCTGAGGATCGGCGGACTGGTGGGAGTGGGATGGATGCCGGTTCTGACCACAAGCACCCGTAATGACAACAAGATTGTTGTAGATTATAGAGAAGTGTGCAACCTTGCGGCTAGGATAGCTCTAGATCGACAGTCATTCAAGGACTAATTCACCAATTGTGATTAATAACAGCCAAATATATCGAATCAACAAACATCATGTTAGTGATGAAAATTTTATTGATTGCTGTTTGCTACGTTTTCCTTAGGGAAGCCCTCTGGGTACTATTTTCATTAAAATTTCACTTTTGCTACTTTTTAAGGTAATTCTAAAAGGCTTTTTTTTCATATGTATCATCGACATTGATTCCTATGTTAACTCAAGCGAACTTGGATCGAGTCGGTGGCATGGCAATGATATTAGCCATAGTGGATGGAACCTAATGAAACTGTGGACGGAACGATGCATCGTTCTCGGTGCAGCCAGTAAGGAAAAGACAACACGGCAACTCCAAATGAATGTAATATGACTATCGAAAACCCGTTTCCTTATGCTTTACAGACAGCGAGAAAAAGAGACGGACAGATAGATAGGCGGAAAGAGAGGAAGAGAAAGTAAAAGAGGAGACGAATGGGAGAAAAAGCTGATGATCTGATAGCGACTCCTATTCGAGTTAAAAAGCTACTGCATTATATCTTTGATTCTTTCACAAGATAAACAAATTAGATCCATATGTTCTCTACAGAGGTTCTCTAAGCGTAAGAATGAAGATAAAAGAAAGAAAGGAATGAAGAAACAGTGCTTTTTCTCAATGATTACAGCCGTTCAAAATGATTTTATCCAACTCGATTAATTTTGAATACGTCTAATTAAACAAAAATGATACAAACAGTCGGACTGGTAGAATTATTTTCTAGCGTACCTATGATTAAATAATAAAAGTACTAACATTTTGTAACTCTATAGGAGACGACTCTTATGTTACGAATTGAACGCTTCTTTAAAAAATGCGTAAGTATCATTAGAACTTCACAAGTTGACATGGTTCAAGCCAAATGTGTTATGTTCACATAAAAACCTAGAATAAATGTTGAGATTAACTTCTAAACGAATGTTTATTCCATTGATTTACGAATTCCACATGCTGCTGTTTCTCAGAATCCACAAAACAACCAACCAATGCAGGAATCGCGGCCGTCAAGACGTCGCCAACTTACACCAATCCAGATATCATCCATGATAGAGTAGATAGTATGTCGTATAGATAATATACGATTGTTCACTAGTTTAGTAATCACATAGTTTTAATGATGGAGTCGAAATGCGCGAGAGTTTGGTGGACAACGGCTGAATGAACAACAATCGGCGAACGACAAAGTGTGCGCTCACCGAGGTAAAAACAATTGACAAGGACGTTGGCGGGCCATCACTCCGATCGTCCGTCGTCCACATACGATCGCCCATCATCCCAGAAGCGGGTCAAGAGAGCTGGTCAGGCCGACTGACTGGTAGAGGTGAGCGAAATACTGTCGCACCTCAAACACACACACCTTGGAATCTTAGGCCGATTATTTACTGCTTTGCTTTAACTTCCATCTACTGCCTATTTTTTGGACAACAGCGAGTTTAAAGCGCATCTGAGGCTCCAGTCCTGCTCACAACTCAGCGTCCTTGTGATAGTTATTTATTACTTCATTACAAATCTACTAAAGATCTACAGTTAAGGTTATTCCGTGCCTTAATAAGATCACCTATTCTAACATGGAGCACAACATGTTCGGACACACTCGGAAAAGCAATAAGAAATAAATCATTGATAGGAATCACTGCCTTCATGGCAGCAACCTAGTCACAAGGTGCAACTGAGTGTGGTGACCTCTTGGGAAGGTCTTATCATGGGCATCTGATGAATCCAAGGAAAGAAAATCTTGAATTTCAACCAAACTAGTAGTAAAGTGAAAATTTCACTGGGCCCAAACAATTATTGGTAAAGATCAGCTATTGCAGCATTCAAGTATTACATATTTGGTTATGTTTTGTGCCTTAAGTCTTGGAGTAACGGCTGATATACCGGCATTAGAGGAAAGAATTGCGCACACGAACGCTACACATACCGCAAAACAAAGTGAAGGTAACCAGTACAGTCTACCATAACACAGAATCTTCGATATGACTAGTGGACGGATCTTGATTAATGATGGCCTCGCAACTGGAATGAAAACGTATTCAAGTCATGCCAATCACACCCACTTACGGTCCCATGGCCCAGAAACCTGAATAGAATCCACGAAAGCGTCACCAAAACACAACATGCTAAACCAACATACAACGCTCTACGAGTGCATAGAGATGTGCTTAAATATACGACGTGGAACTAGAAAGTTTTTCCTGTATTAAAATTACCACTAAGGATACAGCGTACTAGAATGGTAAAAACCTGAATTACCGCGATAAAAAAAATTTCGTGTTCTTATTCCATGAGGAAAAAGAACTAGGATCAACTAACACATGCTCTACCTGTGCCATCTGTAATTCTGTTTATCATCAAGGGAGTACAATCGAGTCAGCAGTGAAGTCCTCCATTGTGCCTGTCGCACGCCAAAGCTGTTCCGTAGGTAATTTCGTTTGGCAAACATTAAAAGTATCATATTTTTAACATCACATTCGCTATTTTACTAGTTTTTCAAGAGACTTATACGGTAGTGAATCACATGCCATACAATCGGGCCCAGTATAGCCACAGATAACTTTTGAACTTCCCGAGGTATAGATGAAACTTCTTCAATGAAGACGCCATCCAATACCTTTTCTTGCCCTTCATTTCATTCGACACTTTTAGCCGATCAGAAACACAAGGCACGAGCAGATGAAATGTATACGCATAAACATATGTATCAACATAGAGATATGTGTATAAAAAGTATAAGGCAATAAGATGTGGGAGAGGAGGTCTTCTCCCAAATCCACCAGGCCTCCTAAATCAAATGAGTGTAAAAGATATACGGGATATTTGAAGGAAAATGTGTGTAGAAGCTTGAAGTCCAACAGATTCGACTAGAAACTGCCGAATCTACCGCAAAATACAGGTTTTATGACCTTTACGGCCAAATGAGTTAATGATTTCTTGTATATCCATAAACATAAGAGCGATAGAAATTTTGGCACGCGCCAAAATCTAGGAATTATACCTGCTGACAACGACAATAGGTTGGAAAAAGTGAAACCGAATGCAAAATAACATGGAAAAGCAAGTAATTATTGGTTGGGACGCTTGAAAAGTCAAACCGACACCTTCACTGACATTGACACTGACCTCCCTCGAGCAGATATACGTAGGGTTCGTATTCCGTGGCTGGATGAGATCCAGGTCCGAGGCTCTACGCAATGCGAGAGATTTTCGCCGTAGATTACGATATATGACTGACATTTATGACATGTTGAACGAACAAAACGATCTTTAATGAATAATGAGTGGTGTCAGTTGTAATTATACAACTTCATATCATGACACGAGCTCCACACTAGCCATAAGGTAATGAGATAAAATTAGCCATTCCGCTGTGCGGAAACCAACTGGCGTTTTCCAAAATGTCTTTCGCTTGAACCATGATTCATAATTGGATTACATAATTCATAGTTGATGGAGCGGATGACACAGTGGTAGCGATGGCAATCATCGCGAGTACGGTGCTGGTTCAATCTCTCCTCAGGCTCACAAAGTCCCTCATTCATCCAGAGTCGGGAAATTTGTGCCAAACTTGTCCAGGGAAAATCGCTCCCTGAAACCCAATTAGCGACGTTCCAGCTCAGCTATCTCATGACTCCAGAAAGAATCGAACCGCCATTGCATTACATCCAAGATGAAACGAAAAATGCTCAAGCAGGAACCGAAGCCACACGTAAAGGTTGGGAGAGGTTCGTGGATGATGGATGCAGGAACCGAATGGGATGTGAGAAGTGTTGGGATCCAATTAGTAGATGTGAAGACGGGTCGTATAAAATAAAAGAATTACAGTAAACTCATATTTGAAGAGATTTTGAGCTTTTAGGCGATTAAAGCAGTTTTTGCCTACGGGTCAGGTTGTCCAAATATTCCTGTTGTTAAGTTTTCCCACTCTTTTGCAAAATATACCGTATCATTCACATAGAACTGGATTTCACCAAGTGTGTACTGATACTTCAGAGTTATGAAAATTCGCACACTTTCCCAAGGTGTTTGTGGTTGTACGCAGCATACAGAGCTTATAAAAAAGGAAAAAACTAGTTCACAACAAGTTCGTGATTTTAGAGTGTTCCGTGGAATAGAGCAGCTCCCACAGATAGGTAATTTACCAATGAGATTACGGTAGAGACGGATTTGAGTACTTTGAATTTTGTTCTCATTGACAAATATTATACTAAGAAACATCAACAGTGCTCAGAAATGGGATAACAGAAAATAAACGGTGATAAATCCAATATGCACAAATTCATCTCTTGATGAGAAATGAACTAACGTCTTCATTTTCCACATATACTGTGATTAAATTGTGTACTGTTTGTCTTCCATACTGAAGTAACGTAATGAAGCGCTAGCTATTGATATCATACAATTATAATACTAGGAACTTAAGCACAATTTTAGCCTTTAGTTCTTAGCTTTTTAGTTTTCGTCTTTTAGCTTCCTTCAGTTTTCGGTTTTTCTTGAAATGTTTTTCCCAATAATACACTACCTACTTTCAAACGGCTACCGGACTAAATCAAACTGCTAACATCAAGAATGAGCGCCGATCAGTGACTTGCCTATGCATTTCACTGCTAACAATACAGAAAATGATAAACGATGTCAGAAATTATCAATCGATTTATATCACGGTGTAGTAGAGCGGCTTTTTTCACAAAATAATTTTCCACATTTTGGTAGCCAACGGTCAGAAACGATCTTCGACACAATCAATTGACAACGATCGAAGAATGGATGAATGGATAGATGGGATGGATGGATGGATGACGATGAACGAGATAGTCAGGCGAGTGTTAAGGTTGCGCGAAAATACGGTCGGCCGCCGATAACCTTGAAGTGATTCGCGATACAAATAGGAAACGAAACTCAATAACAAGATGGTGAACTCGGTATTCCGAGTTCACCTCTCTATAACGTAATACAGGGTTTGAAGCAGTTTCTTCCACACAGGCTTTGCATTATTAATGCACAACTTTTACGTAGCATAACAAATAGCACTTGATGTTCAGCGTTTAGTGATTATCAGTTGCCTAAATGGATCGGGTTCCTACAACAATACTATATAGAGTGGGTTTAGGTGAATCTGTGAAAGACTTCGAATATTTTTCAGATTTCACAAGCACGCTAAAGATTTACAAAATCAGAAGCGCCATTTCCACCTATGGTCATCTAAAAAAGGCTACGTGACAAAAATCAACGCGGACTAGACACTGATCTTCTCATGTGGCCGGCACTGAACACGCTTGATGAGCATCAGGGTCAAGCCAGACGACGGCTGCCCATGTGGAATGCGCCAGCAATAAAGGCAATCCGACCGCGTCGAGAACGTGCCGTTTTTCACGCTCGGCAACTTTTTCTACATACAGTATGAAACGTAAAGAATATATAGAGCATAAAGACATTCTTTAGTGTCAGGTCGCAACATTTCCACCACATTCAACCACATGACCTTGACGTCGTTGGTCATCAACTCATCTGTGTAATTCGTGCATGAATATTTAACAGATTACTGTAATTACAGGTTTAGTGTGATATGAATGCATTCGATAGCGTCTACCAAAGACTCATTGAACCTGGATGATGGCAAGTTTACGGAAGCGGCCTTGAGCACTAAAACTGATAAAGCACTGTAGGAACACATTTGAGATAAGAAATTTGGAAAATCCCGTAGGTTTATAAAAGATTTCTAGTTAAGCATAAATTATACTTAAAGAATCTCCTCATTACCTTCGTTGCTTTCGCCGTGAAAAAAGAAATACTTTGATGCTAAGCGATCGCCTTGCGATGTTACCACGCCTTCTACTACACCATAAACCAATGGAAAGGTGATTAGATAAATACTTGGTCCGGAAAATTTTTTCCCAGGACCTACTCAGGTATCAGTCTTTTTATGTTCCCAGACAAGTACGCTATCAATTTTCTGACCTCCGTCGAAGTGAACTGGCTTGTCTACAGAATAGAATCGAACCTACGACTATATACAGAGTAGTTCAAACCACTGCGTTAAGGCGTTCAATAGGTGTTTCTAAGTTGACTTCATATAATCATTTGAAGACAACCTTTGAAAGTGACCTCATGAATAAACCTCTCATATCTGATTTTGTATAAAAGCGCTCTCATTAACACGGTTACGACGTTTGTCGACTAATGCCGATTTTCGAAAATTCTTTAGCACTTCTGTTTATACGAAGATCATCGATAGCTAAAGCGCTTAGAATGAAGAAATTATGCAGTAGTGGACGAGTTTTCCGTCACTGTTGTCGATACAACCGGCGATCAAAGAGCTATTGAAGCGATGTTACTTGTGAATGGGAACAATTTCAGAATGACATGATTTGTTCAAATCATTTACGGTGATGGATAGAAATCGTCATACAAATCGTCCAAACATATTTTTGAATTCTATTGTTTGTCGGACGCTCAGAATTCTCAAATCCGATTTTATTCGTTAGAAGAAAAATGCTCAACTTTAACGCCTTGTGAAACTATGTGTAGTTTTATAGTCTAATAATGAAATAAACTTAAATATACTCGTTAGTGTGGTGCGTGTGGCGCAGTGGTCGGAGGTGCCGTGCAACACACACGTGGTATCGATCCCCGCGCCCATGGCCCACCAAGCCTTCCATCTCTCCGGGATCGGCAAATTGGTACCAGACTTGTTTATAGCAGGAGACTCCTCTGAGAAGATAGCTGGGTTGATATATCGGTAGACCACCGCGAGTTATTATGAAGGTCATCTATGCATTCAATCACCTCCAAACAACGCTTAATGAAGTCGGATGCATGGCGCATCCACAGAGAATCATTACCGCGAGAGCTTTATCCTTTTTATACTCGTTAGCAAAGCTTATGCAGCGAATTTCTGAGATTCGTTAAGAGATTTTTCTTGAGTGACCTTGGCGTGGATAGTAGAACAACTGTCGAAGTATGAATGAAAATCAACAGATATAATTATCTGTAGGTCAACCAAGCTCGTTATCGATTAGTAGGAATTTCATAATGCAACCAAGACAAATAATAGTGAAACAGCTTTAAAAACTATATCTCGTTGATGTAAAGAAGAAGATTTGTAGATCGATAAATGCAACA